CAAACACAAAATACATATCTAAATAGAATTTCGATACATATCTAACTAGAATTTTGATCGAGATCACTGGGTGCCGTGGCACCTCCACATTTATGAATAGATCTGTCCATGTTTCAAATTATTTCTCAAAACATAAGATTTTATATTAATTAATATGAACATTATGATAAAATATTTATATTAATTAAAAAATAAAAGACATAAAATTTAAAATGGCCGAATACAAATGAACAAAGTGAGTACAAAATATAATCAAAGACCGTAAAATATTTTTATATTAATAGAGCAACATTTATTTTATTTACTATGTAAGAAATGTGAATAAGATGACCAATTCTAGTGAGGCCCACATTTTTTTAATACATGACTTTTTACAAATTAATAAATGTGTCAAATTACAAAATTAATTCACAAAAATGATACCTTAAAATTGTTGATAAAATGGATAACTGAAGTGGACGGCCGAACTTTTTATTACTTATTAGCATAATTATTACATAGTACGTTTTTTTAAATAAAAAAAAATTACATATTACGAAGAACATGTATTACATAGTACGTCGAATAATAAAACTAAACTAAACAGCCGGTCCACTACGTATAGATATTTCCATAATTGCGACGACAGGTTGGGCACGTAATTTGGCGGCACATCCAAGTTGAAATGCACTCACTGTGGTATAAAATTAGTATTAATTAGACTAAGCACATACGTTAGGAGGGAAAAACACTCTTTGTTAATTATATGGTGTTTAATTGATGATATAAATTTATGTGATCAACCAAACGCAATGTAATTTTTTTATCACAAATTTAATCTTAAGATATTACATAGTATCCCGCATATATCAAACGAGCATAAATGCTTCTTCTTATTAGTTTTTGGCCTTTTTCCAATTTTTCTCAATTATATGCTAGGTAAAACCAAACTCAAATTTCACTTATCTGAGTTATACTAAATGTGGTTGCTAAGTTTTTTTCTTCCAAAGACAAATAAAATATTGCAACAATTAATGAAAATAATTGAAAGCTAGCCTTCTTGATTTTCATTTAGCTCCATAAAATCTACTTTTAATTGGTCTTCATAACTATAAAAAGAAAGAGATAGTGTATTACACTTGTGGGATTTTTATATAAGCATATATTATTCTTGTAAACAATTATATTTGTATACTCGTTACGAAAGAGAAAATAGAATTGTGACATGAACAAATGAGGACATCTTTAAACAACTGAAAACCACTGTAAATTTGGCAATCAATTGCTTATACTCCCTCCGTCCCATTTTATATGTCATCTTTTTACTTTGCACTTGCATTAAGAAATGACGTAACTTTACTCTTCTACCCTTATTTAATGTTTTCTTAAGTCAACTTTATTAATAAATGACAAGATTAATTAACTAGTCTATCAAGGGTATAATAGGCAAAATATGGTAATTTATGCATAAATTTTATAAAATGACAAGTATTGTGGTCCAGCTATTTATAGAAAGAAATGACATATAAAATGGGACGGATGAAGTATTTGTCATATACTTTATAGAAAGATGAAAATCATATAAATGTATACATTATGAATACTTAGTAAAATTGTTTACAATACTTGCACATAACAATACAAAGAAACTATCTTACTTTTAATTACTAATCTAGTAAAATAAAGTTTATGATTAATATCTCATTATTTAAAAAGTTGAACAATTTCAATAATATATGAGACATTGCACTATTATATAGTAGGTTACTTAGTAAAAATATTGTTGGTAGGACTTTGTATCAAAAGAAAAAAAAAGAGTGAAAACAAACTGAGTGTAAATAGTGAAACTACACTCATCTCTGTACTCACATCAAAGGTTACAAAGGCTAGAAGAGAGCATACTTGCAACCCAAGGGGACTAGACGTAAGATCCATTTTGGATCCCAACCAATATATTACTTTACACACTTTCTAGCTTTCATTATATTTCTTTGCAAACAGTAGTTGACTAAGGAACTCCACAAATCAACTACTCACGAAGAAAAAAAGAAAAAACATTGATTCACCCCCCCCCCCCCCCTCTTGCACTTCAGAGCCTCGTCTCACAAATATTTGTCAAACAACATGTGGGAAAAAGATCATGGCACAATAAATTATGGGTGCACTATTTCAAGAAGGAACTTCTCAGACAAGATCTTCATAATTTAATGGAAAACATTTTTCTCACTGAAAAGTAAGAATGAAAACTTTCATAAAATTCTATGATGTGAAAGTTTGGAGAGTTATCAAGCTTGGTGATATTTCTATTCCTATTTCAAAAAGTTCAGACGAAAGTCCGCCAGCCATTACTCCAAGTTTAGAGAACTACACAAATAAACAGATGGATATTATTCAAATAAACTCTAAAGCGAAAAATGTTTTGTATAATGTTATCACTGGTGAGGAATATGAGAAAATCTCTTGATGTGATACTGCCAAGAAATGTGAGACAAATTAGAGGTTACATATGAAGGAACTGACAAGTCAAAGAAACCATCATCAGTTTGCTAGTATACGAATACAAACTATTTCAAATGAAGGAAGGAGAAACAATCGAAAGCATGTTTGCATGATTGAGTAAGTTCATTGGTGAACTAAAAGCCTCAGGAAAAACATATCCTCCCATTGAGCACATACGAAGAGTCTTTAGAAGTTTACCACCTCAAGTGCAAGAAGGGGGGAGGGGGTTAATTGTTGTTTTTTCTTCGTTGACTTGTGAAGTTCCTTAGTCAACTACTGTTTGCTCCAATAGACTCGGGCTATTTTTCTAAAGATTCTAGCTATTGTGTGTAGAGGACTTATAATTTTAGATAATAATGGTACTGTGATAGATACAGAGAAAATATATGTAATCGTCGATACAAAATTGTATCAATTATTTGGACTAGAGTGTATAAATTGGACATTTACTCAAATGGGCTTCTTTTAGGCAAACCTTTTAAATATTGGTCCCCTACTAGTCCAGTTGCCCCCCAAAGGCCCAAACCCCAAATCCCAAGCCCAATTCCCCAATGTAATCAAATGAGATATTTAAAAAGTGGTCATTCATATAAATAATGGTTATTTGGTAATCTGATTATTCACAAACTAAGCATATCTTTGGCTAATGTTGTGTATAAGTTGTGAATTTTGGCACTATAATTTGAAATAATTCAAAAAAAATTTAGTAATTTTTTGCTTGGATATAGTATTTGGATAATAGTATCCTTAATTTAACTAGCATGCTTTTTCATCTTTGTAAACTTATGTATAACTTACATAAATTCCATAGTTTTAATATGAAATTACAATCTCTTTCTCATTAGTTTGTAATTACATTAGTCCCTTAAAAAGTAACACAAACCGGATACATAATATGTAGTTCGGATACATTAAAGAGTATCTCGGATATATAATATGTAGCTCAGATACATTAAAAACTAGCTCGAATACATAATATGTAGTTCGAATACATTAAATACTGGCTCGGATACATTAAATAAATAAAGAATTTTAGAGGTTTTTAGAAATAAAAGAGGATATTAGAAATAAGGGAAACATAAAACGTATATTTGAGTAATTTTTCCTTAACAGTAAAATATTAATTTTTGTATGGTCATTTCATTAATGGGGTACACATAGTAAAGTTTCATGTACAACTATATAAAAGGAAAAAATGTATATAAATGGTGTCAGACTTTAAAGTCAGTTATGGTCATATTTTTTTTTAAAAAAAGACTACTACATTTGCTTTTTTACATTCATACCTTTTCTATTTATTTGATTAAATTAATTAACAAATATATTTCTTCTTCTTGATACACCAAATCACTAAATTAACTTTTTACGTACTTTTATTTATAACACACAAAATCACTAAATTAACTTTTTACGTACTTTTATTTATAAGAGCTTAATAAGATTTTAAAAAAATCGACGGTATATGTTATCCATTTAATTTTCTACTTGGAAGTTTCATTTTCCCTTTTAGTTTGACTACTGCGGTAATGTGCCCATTTATCAGTTTGAATCTCATAAAGTTACTCTTAATTAAAAGGTTTTTTGGTAATTTATTCTATTACCACAAAATATTAACTTTCAAAATTAAAATTGACATTTAAATGTAGCCATTAATACATAAAGAGTTAAAGATAAAAGATATAGTTTCAGTATTTTAATTTTTCAAATTTTATATCTAAATTATCATATGCATGTGAATTCTACTTGAACTATCACCAACTATTTATCAAAATATACATCAACAATCAGTTGTTTTTTTTCCTACCTTAAATACTATCGCCATTCAGGTAGAAAATGGGAACAATTGATTGTTAAAATGTGTTGTTAAATAATTGGTGATACTTCAGATATGAAATTCAAAATTTGAAAAATAAGAGGTAAACAAAGGTAATTGGTTTGAGTCATGAAATCAAGCTTTGCATCAGGATATGCAGTCTACATTACTAGTGGTCGCAGAAAAGAGGTTTATTTTTTTAATTTTTTTTTATGACAACGGAAACCCGCAGTCGCTATCATTTGGGTGTGCATAGGTAAAACCCCCACTTCTATGCAATAGTGCAAACCACATAGGAGAGGTAACCCACACTAGACAAGCCCAATGCAACGAGCTCCACCTAGTAGGCAAATCCCTTCCTTTCTCTAGCAAGAGGTTTCAAACGTGAAACCTCCAAAATGGAAGTCCCAAGTCCAAACTACTGGGCCACCCCGAAGGGTGAGATGGGTTTATTCGAACCTCCTTTGTCAATATAAAGTCATAACGAATTTTACATGCATATAGTAAATGATGAATTTTCTTAACGAAAATCTTATCTCCGCCACTGCACATTACATTTACACCCCTTGAAGTACGGCCCTTCCCCAGACTCTGCGTGAATATGCACGGGGTTACCCTTGTTCCCTTTCTATTATTTGTACTCTTTACCACAATAGTATAACAAAAAAAATGAACCAAACTTGACAATAACTTGAGTTTATGTTCATCACACATGATTGTTCTATCATCAATAATATAAACAACTTACTCTGTAGTCTATACACATAATGATCATTAAACAATTACACACAACCAAAATATATGATAAATGTTTTTGACAAAAGAAGCAAAATTTAGTAGCCAAAGCATCTCAAGAACTTTTTAGGCATATTGCCAGTAGCACGAAATTTAGCAGCAATTTCCTCAACCTTGAGAATATCTTCGCCTTCTTTCGCCTTAATCATTGCTCTCTTTTCTTCTGCTTCTCTGTGAATTTCAGCCATCTTGTTCTTCATCTTCTCCGCGTATTCTGCCTTTTTCTTCTCTAATTCTTCCTGCTCGGAATCAAAGGTACGTGTACATGTATATCATATATGTGCTAGAGACTAGCAAAATGTACGAAAAAAGGTCTTATAGGGTGGGAAGCGACATGATTTTCACTAAGAGATTCTAAGTATAACGAAGTAAACATATGAAGAAACCAACGAGATTCAAATTATATATACATTGAAAAAAGACATGTATAACAGTATAATTTTCCAACAAAGGGGTTCGGATACAATTTTTTTGCTCCCTAGTTCCATGCATGCATATAGGTCCACTAGACTATGTTGTGTTCACTTTTATGTTTCTTAATATGAACATTAGTATAAGAAATCATAAGAATGAGATTTTGAAACACATAAAAGTCTAAAAAATAGTACTTAATAGATTAGGAGATAAGCCTAGAAAAGTAGTACTGGTTACCCCACCTAGCTCGGCCCCTGATTTTATGTACTAGTTAGTAGTATGTAACAATGGTTTCACCTGAATTTGTCTCAATTCAGCTTCTATAGTTGCCTTTTTTGTGTTCTCCCAAGATCCAACTGCTGATAACTTTTTAAGTGCCCTGATATTTGTTCATCACATGTTCAATATATAATCAACACAACACAACATATAAATATATATAAAAAGGTTCTAAACTTATGTAAGGGTTCCTCTGTTGCTCATAGTCTTTAAAAATACCACAGAACTTATGTTGGATCCTTCAAAATTTAATACATTTTCCAAGGATCCAACAGGGGTCCAACAACGTTTTTGGAAGGTCCGAGCAACATTAAGGACTCATTCATACTTGTTTTCAGTTTTTGTTTTTTCATTGTCTTCCCATGCCTTGATCAAAGCCAATCTTTTCTCTGATTCAACCTTTGCAAGTGCAGTATCTATAAACACAAAAATACCATTAAAAACTCAACATATCTTCACCAATAAAATAGGGGAAATATGCACTTTGGGGCCCCACTAATCAAGATTTGCCCAGAGTAAGGCCCATTAAAAAGGGGAAACACTTCCTAACGTGATTTTTTTTCTTTTTCAATGTTTAAACTCGAGATCATTGATAAATCCTAGTTATATTATCTTACTTATTTTGCAAACTACAATACATATCTTTTTAAAATAAGTCACAAAGGTTGTTTTCAATAAATCATAAACGCAATAATTTTTTTTTTGAAAAAGCAATAGCAATAAATACAAACAATAAAATAGTACAATAATCGAGGCTAAAGAAACAACAAGCAGTAATAAAAATAGTACATACTTTCTTGAACATGGGAAGATATTTTCTCTATATCATCTAAAATTGGAACAATTGCAAGTGTATTATTTTCTTCAATTTTCTCATTTGGTTCTTCATTTTTGTGCTCATAATTTTATGGAGAAACTAAAGGGCTTGATTCTTCTTCTCCCATGATTATAATCTATATGATAAATATATATTTTTCTTTTCCTAATAGGTGAATGAAAAATTCAGAAAATAGAGAGAAATAAAAATGAAGAATAATATAAAGAGAGTAGGTAAAACTAGAAATAAAGGGAAGTTGGAAGCTGCCAAAAAAAGTCATATTACAGATAGGGAAAGAGTATCCTTTGATGTCAATGGCTGGCATAATTAATTAATTAATCATTTTTTAAAAAAAAATAAAAAATGTTTTTTTTTTTTTGGTTGTTGTTGTTATTATCGTATAACTTGTCATTTTACAATCTTAATTTTGAATATAATAAATAATTACTGGTATCTTATCTTTTTAGGTAATTTGATAGGATAAATTAAACTCTGGTAAAAAATATTCTTTTTTAAAGATTTTGGCTAGATAGTACTTCTCTGTTTCATTTACTTGGCTTAGACTCGACACTCCCAAGTTTATTTTACTTGCCCTTTAATAATTAAAAAAATAATTCTCTTAGTTTATTAAAATGGACAAATAAAAATATATATTTTAATATAAAATCCAATTAAAATGAAATATAGGGAGTAACACTGTAATGACAACTTTAGTCATCTTTTTTTGTAAATAACAAATTATAAACTAATGTTTATCTTTGACTACCTAATATGTGATTCAATAATTAATATTTTTTACGCAATTTAAAAACTCCGTTTTAAATCTTTTCTTTAACGATAATTGGTCACAATTTATATGAGTTTTGTAATGAACTTATATTGTATTAAAATGGATAATTAGAATTACACATACAATTATAAGAGTTCATCATTTTGATTGCTTCAAACTAGTAACAAATCCTTCAAAAGGAAGAAGTCGAAATAAAAAGGAAGAATGGAGGGAGGTTCCTGATTAATCTAAGCAACTAAGAAATAAGAGATAAGTTCATAGCATAATCCTAATTGAGTATTTCCCTCTTCTATATATAAGAATCTTCCTAGGGTCCCAAATGTAATTTGACATCTTCTCATGTAAGTCCTCCAGCTAAGTTATATCAATAACAAGTTTTAACTTATAAGTAATATATACCAAAAAAGAAGAAGTAATATACACCACAATTAAAATTAGGGGTGTGCATTCGGTTTTTTGGTTTGGTTTTACACTATACGGTTTGAATTTTTTGGTTTTTGGTTTTGTAAAAGTGTAACCCAATCCGATCCAAAATAAATTTGGTTTGGTTAGATTTTCCTCTATTTGGTTCGGCTTTTTTCGGTTATGTCAATAATTAATAACATAACCAAAGTAATAATATTTAATCCCTTAAATATACTTTCCAATATAAATCATAAGTAAAACTTAAAACACAATACTTATAAGTATACCTATTATATATGTAATTCAAACATAAAATATAAACGTAATCATCATCAAAGACAATAACCAAAAATTAACTCCAACTTAATTCTAAACTTAAAACATATTATATATATATATATTTCAGTTTTTATTTTTTAAAATCTGAAACTAAATCAAAAAACCAAAAAAAGTAATTTATTAACCAAAATCAATCCGAAAAACGAAAAAACCAATCCAAATAAAAATTCGATTTGATTTGGTTTGGTTATTTGGTTTAATCCGAATAGTGCACACCCTACACAATTTGTACACGGTATTTAATTTACAAGTCATCACCATTTTACGTCACACTAATAAATAAATAAATGAAAAGCATATCTTAGATGTTATTTTTTTCATCAATTAGAGTTTCCAGGTCTTCCTGATTCAATTGAAATACGTAAAAGAATAATTAATTAGCACTGATGATGATTATGTGTCTTCATACTGCCAATTGTAAAGCATTATGGGTCTATAGTTAGTTGATTCGTGACACATGTATAAGATAATCATGTTCTATTATTTAAAGTAGACAAGTAATTAAGTTTTTTTAATTATATAGTGTCCAATATTTATATGGGGTTCGATTAAATTCAAATAGATATTTTTCAATATATATAATTAGATCAACTAACTTACAAAATATGTGCAAAAATAATTGAAATACAAGATATACACCGATCATGTATAGATGGTATGCATATTATATGTATCTGTGTGTATATTATATGTAAAATATATGTATATTTAGTCTATACATTGTGTAAATCTTTTATCAACTAGATCATACAAATCACAAGATATTAAAGTGCATGTAACTTTTTCAATTCGAATTCGTGTGTTGCAGTGTCTCACAAATCTCAACACTACCAACCACTTTTTTCAATTCCTCTCGAACCAGAAAAACTCTGATTAAATAAGTTTTTTTTTAATTCTTCGAACTCGAGCACCGATCGATTTAGTCATATGGTCAAAAATTATTTTGAATCTTATGCAAATATAAATCATCAATCTTCATCAACAATAAATATTTGTTGATTCAATTAATTCTACTAAAATCTGTATTCAGATTATTATTTTGGATATTAGTTATAAATGAGCAATAAACATTTATTAAATAAAAAAATTATTTTTAATTTTAGTATAGTCAATTTAGTCTTTTATACATTTTTATATAATATACAGCTTCCTCATAGTATCATATATACCTAGCAAATCAAATTCAGTATTGATCTTTCAGGTCTGTTAATTAATCATGCATATATAAGTTGATTAGTCGGGTCGTAGTCAGAGGCGTATCCATAATTTCGGAATGATGAGTGCACAGTGCACTATTGTGAAAAGGTGAATCTAATTCGTTTGACACTTAGTTTCGTATCTTGAAAATAGTTAAAATTTTAAATCTATAGGTCCAAAATTGAAATGATTAATTAATTATAACGCCAAAAATTCTACCAATAACCACTTAGAGAGGTGTTACCTAATTTTAAAAATTAAAATAGTACAAGATAGATATAAAATTCAAATTTCTAGTCTCACTGAGAGGTGCACCCAATCATCATTCCATTAAATGATATTTCGATTGTGGGTTCACACATCTATATTTGACAAAAAATTTAAAAATATAACACTACTATATATGATTTCAGGAGGGGAGCATGGGTTCATGTGAACCCGGTCACCCCTCCAGCATACACCTCTGATTGTAGTAATGGTTCTCCCACCGGAGGGTAAGTGTGGGTGTCAATCACAGTGGTCTAGGTCGTGACATCAACAATCAAAACTGTAAAGGATTTTTTTTTACTTTTGGTTTCATTGTACTTGTAAATCCCTAAAAACATTTTATTTTATTTTTAATTTGATATACCGGTAACTACATAGAGATGTGAGAAACTAAGTACAATCCATGAATTACCTAATACATGATGTTTTTGACAAATTAAATGATTTTTCCTCAATTTTTAGTCCAATCGTTACAAGTACTACTTGTCAATATTTACACATTTGTGATTGTTGAGGAATTCTCAATTTTATTTAAATTCATCGAAAATAAAGGTTCAAAAACACCCCTCAATTTTTAATTATTGTTTAAAACTATCCTCAAATAAGAGCTTTGTTCAATATTAAAGTCAAAATATTACATTGGCATATATATATATATATATATATATTTGCACATAAGTTTAGTTCTTTTTCATTTTTTTTTTCAAAATAAATCTAATTTTGGTTCCGGACTCAACAACATATCTGGTCATATGGTCAAAAGTATTTTCAATATTTTATTATGTAGATATGAACAATAAAAAACGATTCAAAGTCTTTTTAGATTTGGTCAAATGAAGTTAAAAGTATTATTTTGGATATTAATTACAAACGGGCAATCAACATTTATTAAACAAAAATCTTTTCATATATGGTCAAATGTAGTTCAAAGACTACACATAAAGTGAATATCTTGTACATAATAGTCAACTTAGTCTTTTCCACATCTCTATATAATAAAAAAATGTCTTCCTTATTGTAGCAAAGGTATCAATACTTACACCTAGCAAATCAAATTCAGTGTTGAGCTTTCATGTTGTATTAATTAGTCTAATTTCTTCAAAACACCTAAGATTCATGCCTATAAAAAGAAATGAATTCACGATGCATCAAAAAACTGTTCAACAAACGTTATTGATGTTATATTTTCTTTTGAGTTATAATGCGGTGGAAGGACAAAAAAAGCTATCCAAATTAGAGGATGCGGAGTTAGAGAAACAACTAAAAAATTTGAACAAGCCGGCCGTTAAAATAGTAAAGGTATTTTTTTTTGCAAAAAAATTATTTTATTATACTTGTAAGTCCATAAAGACATTTTATTAGATAATATCACTTTTGTATTAGAGAAAAGCATTCATTTGTCACATGATTCTTGGGAAATGGAGAACCTTCCCTTTCCTTCTTTGTGTGTAAACTTTCGTTGTAGTTGAAGATTGAGCAGGTTAGTCCGTTTCGATTTGTTTGTTTTACTTTTTTTTTAATCTGTTTTGAGAAAAATGTTTTTTCCATTTTTGGAAACTATTTGATTCTATTTTTTCACAAAACATGTTTAAACCACAAGATTTAAGAGCATCTTGATATATTCTATATATATTTATTTTAAGATCACAAGATTCAAAACAAAATTCCTTTTTGAAACTTCATGTCAAGTCCAATTAGACAAATGAATTAAAATGGCTTAAGTACATTTTTTGCATTTTATCTTGCAAATTGGAGATAAAGGCATAACAATGGCTTAGGACACATCTATCGAACTATTTTTCGTTAACAAATAATGGCATGGATAAACCTTTTCTCAACGAAAGTAGCATAAATGAACACAATATTAACGAATGACCTAGATAAGTCTTTTCTCAAAGTTTGATAGCATATTTGAGAATTTTTCCTTTTTTGTTTTAAAAAAAAAAAGCAGTAGTATTACCATTTACTAACAATTGTTCTCGTGAGTATCTTTTGTGTTTAAAAGGTACATCTTGTTGTAACTTAGGCTACTTATTTTATTAATTTTGATTATTTACAGACTAAATATGGAGATACATATGATTGTGTAGATTTCTACAAACAACGTGCATTTGATCACCCATTGTTGAAGGACCATAATTTTCATCCTAAGGCATATCTCTACTCTCTTTTCATTTCATTATCATTTTGTTTATATTGGATATGATGTTATTGACATACAATTAAACATCTTATTGAACAGATAAAACCTACTTTATCTATAATCAAGAAAGATTCAACTTCCTCATCGGCAACTAATAGGTCATCGACAATATGGTCAAAAGATG